GGGGCCGGGAGGGTGGGAAGTCATTTCGCCGGGCCGGGACTGTGTGTGTGTGGGGGGGCGATGCGGGTGCCCGAAGGCCGGAGCCGCCACTCGCCGGTCCTGGAGTGTGTGAGGGGGAGCGAGGCGATCACCCGAAGGCCGGTCGCCAGGCCGGGATTGCGTGCGGGGGGCAAGGCGGGCGAGCGGAGGCTGCCGCCGTCGCCCATGTTTGCGTGGGCGCTGGGGAAGGCAGCTCACCGAATCAATAGTGCCCTCGTAATCCTCTTCATCGAGCAAAATGAAAATGGCGTCCGGTGAGGTACACAGTCGCAGCAGTTGTGGTGTGGGCGGGACCCGGGCTTTGCCTTCTGATTGGTGGCGATATATGCTGAGGAGCAGTTCCATCAGCCATACACTAAGGGAGTGCATTTTAGAATTAGAACTTTGGCACGCACTACTCAAATATAATAAGGGAGAGATGATTATATCAAGAAAGGACATTTCAAGAGGTGGCCCATGACTGTGCCTTAGAGCAGCTGGTCATGAAACTGACTAGAGGGAAATTTGATCCTGTCTGCTGTCTGAGATGTATTGTGCAAAGTAAAAGTGATTGAACCACTAGGCAACACTGACTCACAGGGCTATAGAATTTTACATACACATAAGCAGTAAGTTACTTGGAAGGTCCAACATAGGTTTGCTTTAACTACAGAAGAGGCAGCTTCTCAGATGATGAGGGGATTACTTAAAATGAAATTGGAAGGAAGAGTCAGGAGGGTAAAATTTCTTTGGATGCCTAGGAATTTATTTAAAACCACAATAATAGAAGTGCAGCTAGAATACGTATACCACTGACTACGGGAGAGCAAAAAATAATGTCAAAAAGAGGCTGGAATGCTGAACTGCTAGAGTAAAGGAAGCCATAAAAGGCAAGAAGGTCCTTTAGAAAGTGACAGCCTTGAGCCCAAATGGGGAACATCTGAGGGGACACAAAATCGAGCACAATAAACACAAGACAGCAGTCAGGCAAGCAAAAAAGGAATCTGAGGAATACATTGCTAGAAGTATTGGGACGAACAGCAAGAACATCTTTAAATATACCAGGAGGAGAAAGTCAGCAAGGGCAACTAGTTGTTAAACCATAAGGTGACAAAGGTGTGATAAGGTGTCAGAGACAGGACCAGGAAGCTGTAGATAAACTGAATGAATTCTTTCCATTTGTCTTCATTGTGGAAAATGTTGGGCAGATATGTGTCCCTGAGGCAAATTTTTCAGGGAGGATATGTGAAGAACTGAGTCAAATAGAGGTATCTAGAAAATTAAAGGATAACAATTCAGCCAAGTCTTTAAAGAATTAAAAAATGAAAATACTGATTTTGTAACAAAAACAGGTAACCTGTTATCATCAGCCTCTGAGCCAGAAGACTGGAAAAAAGCCAATGTCACGCCAATATTTAAAAAGGGAAAGACGAGCTGTCAGTCCATGTATAGCCTACATCCACAATTCATCATTGGGTATTGTGTTGTTGGTGAACACTAGCCATCAGCTAGACATAGATAATGGGATAATCGTGGATGACTGCAGTTATGGAATAATAAAACTATCTGTGGTGGAGAGAAAGTAAAAAAAATTCTCCCTTTCATGTAAAAACAACTCTGGATCACCCAATGAAACTGACTGATGTTTAGGAGAGACATTATACTTCATATAATGGCTAGTTGACTTGTGGATTTCATTGCTACTGGTTATGGTGGTGGTCACTGGCTTAGATAGATTTAAAAGGGTGTTGAAACGATTTATGGGGGGGTACCTCTATAGCTGGCTTTTTTCCATGATATCCATTTGGGACCTCTGAGTCTAGAGGCAGCCTGCTGTCAGAAGCTTAGGAGCAGCCTGAAGGTGTGGGCTGTTCATTCTCTGACATTCTTGCTCATAGGCTTCTCTGAGGCATCTGATTAGCCACTGTTGGATGCAGATCACTGGGCTAGACAAACTGTTGTCTGGTCCATCATGGCTGCTCTCATGTTTGGCTAACAAGGTATACCCACAACATATCAGCTGTGCTAGTAACAGAAGGAAGCTCTTTTTCAACCTAATAAAAAGTCATGATCTGTATGGTCAGTCTGTCCATCTGTCTGTATGGCCAGAACGGCAGGCAGTCCTACATATGGCTTTTGACAGTCATAAGTATATCATCTAACATAGAGGTTCCAAGTCCTTTTGAGCCTATGGGCTCATTTGGAATTCTGACATGGGGGGGGGGGCTGTAAAATGTGTGCCACAAAATGGCTGCTGCAAGAAGCCGAGAGAGCCATAAAATGGCTGCTGAAGCTCACCTCTAGTCACACAGTGAAGATCCTTGTGCTGTGATGGCAGCTGCAGCCAAAGCAACCTTTTTTTTAAAAAAAATATCTGCACAGCTTATCAAATCTCCAGTGGCCAATCAGAAGCCTTGCTGTTTAAAAGCCCCATCTGGCCCTGCCCATTTACCAAAAACACTTGGTGGGCTCTAGGAAAGGTGTCGGCAGGTGCCATAGCACCCAAAGGTGGGGACCTCTGATCCAACACCTCCTGTGGAACAGAAAGACCCAGATACACTTACTTGAATCAGTAGCCATACTGGGTCCTTCTGGTTAACCTGCAAAGCAATGGAGAGACAAAGCAAAGGCTAAGAAAAGAGGCGAGACACTCCAGGCGGTGGTCATATCCAGAAGGGTTAAGCTGACCATATATATTATAAAAATCCAAATTTTATTAGGGTGTACACATATTAAAATATATTCGGGTTAAATTCTTTTTTTCAAGTATCAGACTAATAAAAGCATATCTGGTAACTGAGATTTCAAAAGTCTGAATGTGTGTCATTCCATCAAGGTAAGGATTCTGTTGTTGATGGAATGACACACATTCAGACTTTTGAAATCTCAGTTACCAGAATAATTGGAATTAATATGGCTATACCTATGGCCCATCATTAATACCAGCAACACAATTGCAAACATATAAGGATACAACATCTGGTCTTTATATAAGTGTACTAAAGATTTTGTATACATATGTTTGAATGCGTGTCTATACTATGTTGTATAGTGACCACTGAGGAAGGCCCTTTGAGGCCGAAACGCGTTTGGTCTTCAGTTGGAAAGTGTTGACCCATCATGTGTATTAATATTTGATATGCTTTTATTAGTTTGATACTTGAAAAAAAAAATTAACCCGAATATATTTTAATATGTGTACACCCTAATAAAATTTGGACTTTTATAATATATATGGTCAGCTTAACCCTTCTGGTTCGCAGTGTTATCTTGGGTTGAGTTCCCCCCCCCCTTTTCCCAGTGGTGGTCATATCCACCCAGCCAATTGTTCCCAGCTTTTATTTATTTTGAGTAAGTAACTCTCCACACACCCCAAGTATGTACTCAAGGGGGCTTACAAATCCAGACAAGCCATTAGAAAACACTTGGAAATTCCGATCAAAAAGTCAACATCAGTACACACACACACACACACACAGAGGTTTGCACTGCTCTTCAAAAACCATTAAAAAGGCATCCGTTGGGGCTTCTTTTGGCAGAGTATTCCACACATGAAGCTGCCTTGATAGTGAGTCAGACCCATCGCCTATCGAGGTCAGTATAGTTTACTCTGACAGGCAGTGGCCTTTCACATCTGATCCTTGGAGATGCCAGTGACTGAACCTGGAACCTTCTGCATGCAAAGCAGATGTTCTGTCACTGAACTACAGCAGAGGTCCATCAGTGGCTATTAGCCACAAGGTATAGATAGGGGCTCTGGGGCAAGTGATGCTCTGTCATCTTGGTGCTTGGGGGGGTCAACAGTGGGAGGGCTTCTAATGTCCTGGCCCCACTGGTGGACCTCCTAATGGCACCTGGTATTTCTGGCCACTGTGTGATACAGAGTGTTGGACTGGATGGGCCTTTGGCCTGATCCAACATTGGCGTCTCTTATGTTCTTATGTTAACTGTGCAGCAAACTCAGAAAAAGCTCTGCCTTGCACCACCATGTTTCTTGCAGGAGGGCAGTGGGGCATAAAGCAAGATTCTACCGATGATGATCCCAATGCGCAGGGGGGAAAACTGCTCAGGGCTTTGAATACTCCAATGCACCAGTCATGGAAGCTGCTCTTTGGAGACAACCAAGCTGGCCCAGGATACTGTGGCACATCTTGCAACCTGATGCCAAGGTCATGATCATATCCAGCCAGTTGTGCAGCAACTGCATTGGCCACCAATTTGCTTCCAAATTCGATTCCAAGATGTTGATATTAGCCTAGCAAAGACTACCTCTCTCCATAGATGTGCACATACCAAGTGAGGTTGGCATACTGCGCTGATAGTGTCGTCACCAAGGGAGGGCGATGGGGGCAAGGCACATAGCCTTTTCAAAGGCTGCACCTACCCTACAGAACGCCCCCACCCTCAGTGGAGGTAAGAAAAACAAACTCTATGGAGTTCACACAGAGGCTGTAAGAGCTTTCTTTTTTGGTTGGCTTTTAATTAGTGATCTAAGTGGTGAGGTGTTTTTACGGCTGGCATTTGGAATCGATTGTACTAAACACAGGTTTTTATTGGGCTGTTTCAATGTGATTAAATTTTGATAACGTAAATAAACGCACACAGAGATATGTAGCTGGATTTTGTATCTGAACGCTCAGTTAATTGATTTATTCTCCTATTTCTTGATTAATGCTGTTAAGTTTATCTTTGAAGACAGGCGAGGTGGGATACAAAAACTTTCAAATGAATAAAAAAGGTTAGAGGCAGCGACTTGATTTGTAGAGCTGATACTTGATGTTACTACTGCAGCTACTACAGGCAGCTACTTGAATTGTAGAGCTGATACTTGACGTTACTACTACTAATGCACATATAGTCCCAAGATGTCATGCAGTCTGCATGTGCTGCTGTGGTATAGAGGAACTGGAATGCACCCACATGAAGTTACTAGGGCTACCACCTCATCAAAGAACCCTTAGCAAGTTAAGCTGTACATGTTCTAATTGATTAATCAATTATGCCTACATCAATTTGCACAAGAATAAAAATAACAGTCCTGAAGAAAAAAAGTACACTCACTTTTGGTGGTAAGTGTCACATGCACTGGCAGAACTTGCGCCCATCATGAAGGTGCCTTTTACTGAATCAGACCAGCAGTCCATTAAGGTCAGGACTCTCTACTTAGACTGGCAGCAGCTCTTCCAGGTAGAGCAGCTCCTCAGAGGTAGAGGTCTTTCATTTCACCTACTGCCTGGTGCTTTGTGACTGGAGGTGCTGGGGATTGAACCTGGGATCCTCTGCATGAAAAGCAGAGGCTCTTCGACTGAGCCACAGTCCCTCCCTAACTTTCCTTGCCTCGCTGGAGATGGCACAACTTTGCCTACCTTCTCCTTCCCCTGGTGATTCCTCAATGGCCGGGGTCAGGGGAGTTTCTTGGACAAAATACTACAAGGAACAGGGGGCTACAGTAAGGGAATCAGGCATTTCTCTCTTCCTCCCCCAGTGGAAAGAGGTAGATGGGGGTGGGGGACAGTTTTGTACAACTCCCCTTCCCCTTTGTACAACTCAATGGCATTTTGACCACAAGGTTCCCCTGACCCAGAGCAATTGCTTCTTGGAAGTCTTTGAGGAGCTGATGTGGGGAAGCAAGGGAAGATCAGCTTTCAGGGCTTGCGGTTGGTGGAATTCAAGCCTTGTTTTTAGATTAGGAACTCACATGTTGCACCAGGCACCAACTTGGAAGAGGCATCCCCTACTTTGTGAGGGGGAGGAAGGAGAGGGCCCCTTGTGGGGTGGCATTTGTGGCCCACAGTTTCTGTAACCATTGTTTCAAAAAGCTTTCTTCTTTTAAATCTGCTTCCTGATTAAAACAGAGCCCCTTTTGTAAACTAGTCAAAAGGATTTAAAATCAATTACGTCTACAATATATCAGTTACATGCAGTGTTCCCTCTAAGCTGAGTTAGTGTGAGCTAGCTCACAGTTTTTTAGCCTCCAGCTCACACATTTGTCTTAGCTCAGGAAGGATGGCTCCAGAGCAAACTAATTTATGCAGTAGCCAAATTGCTCGCTCACAACGTTAATGCCAGTAGCTCAGAAAGTAGAATTTTTGCTCACAAGACTCCACAGCTTAGAGGGCGCTTTGGTTACATGTTGTAGCCATCTTCTCAGTTCAGCAACCTTGCTAAGTGCTTGATGGAGCAAAACACCCAGAGTTTGCCTTTACCTCTGTCCTTTCCGTTCTGCATCTTGTCATCCTCCTCTTCCCCTCCTTCCTCACCTTCAAGACAAAAGCACACACCAGTAAAAGTGAGGTCAGGTCAGGTAGCGGGAGGACAAGCAGGGCTACAATGGCAGAAGGGCATGAAGAAACGCTGCTGCCGTTTGATGTGGGCCATGGGATGGGATTCCTTTTGCAGGACACTTTCCCTCACCCCCTTGGTGCTACCCTGCTCCCACTAGAGCCCTCGGGCTAAGTGCTTCGGCCAGCCTCTGACAGCCAAACATCCTCTCCGGCAGAGAGGCTGGAAACAGGTCCCTGGAGGTGGAGAAGGATGGGGAATTCTTGCCAAAGATCTATTTACAACCCCATCTTGTCCCTCCTGAGCCTTCAGGGATGGTTAACTTCAAAACCTATGAAGCCAGAACCGTAAAAGGTTAAATGTCTACATTAAAGAGGCGAAACCACGCTATAAAATGTTCTGCAGGCGCCTCGGCCCTCTCGTAAGCTCCTGGCTTTTAAAGCATGCCAGGGGATGGGCAGGAGGGATCCCGCTAAGGATGCTCAGGAAGCTGTGAAGAAGAGAGGGAAGACACCGGGAGCAGAGGGCTAAAGGCAGGATGGAGGAGGACAGAAGATGTGGGAGACAGAAAGAGCAGAATGACAAAACAATGAGAAAAAGATGCAGCTGAGTATGGCAGGGCTGAGTGCGCAACCAGATCATGAAATCCACATCCCTTGCCCACAGGGAGAAGACGCCTGCTTCCTCCAGAATACATTCCAGCTTCCCAGCCTGCATTTCTCCACAGACATGGAGAAGAAAGGATACTGCCATTTCGATATGGGACCTGAATCCACAACACCTGTTGGAAGACTGCAGTCAACCATCTTTTCAGAGGAGGCAGAGGAGGGTCACCAGGATGAATCCTCGTTCCCTGCACTGCGTATCCAAGATATCCTATTTCCACTGTCTACCACATCATTGTATTCACACCATTTATTTATTTATTTACATAATTTCAATTTCTATTTATGATATTTTTATCCTGGCCTTCCTCTCCAAGGAGGTCAGGGCACTATACTTGAGAACCCATCCTCCATTTTATACGGACAACAGCCCTTGTGAGGTGTGTGAGGCTGATCTGGGGGGGGGGGCAGGGTCATGGCAAGCAGGGAACTGGACCTGACTCTCCCCAAGTCCTAGTTTGCCACTCTGACCACCACACCCCATTCGCTCTCTGTCCTTCAGCCAAACATAATACAGGCCAGACAAGAAAACTCTGGGCTGGACAGCTGCAGTCACGGCATCAACCAAATCCCAAACAGGCGAGGAAGCAAGGACTACCAGGACGGGGCCAGGAAGGGCAGAGATCCGTGACCACATCGCTACTCCTGAGTTAACAGCGCAGCTCAGCACGGCTATAAAGCTTCGCCTCCATCTGCTTCTCTTGATTTACAGAAACGAGAGGATTTCAAGACACTTTCCAGGGTCTCTTTGCCTGCAGAGTCTGCATATCATCAAAGCGGGGGCCTGTAGCTTGTTTTACCTGTCATCTCACCACATGGCTCAGTGCAACACATCAGGCTTTGGTGGCTGCCGACAGAAACAAGCCCTACTTTGTTTGCGATTGCCTGAGACTTTGCACGTTTCTAGAGGGAGGAGAGCCAGAGCTTCAGGCTCCTGTCATGCCAGAGAGGATGCCTGCAGCTCCAAAGGCACCCAACACATCAGAGGGCTTTTCCGCGCTGACACTGAAAAGCCCAAGCAAGCAACAACTACCAGGCCAAAAACAGGGATGACCTGTCCGTCAGCTCCCCCCCTCCCCCCGCTCTTCTTCCTAGGCTCTCCCCTTTGTTTTATCCTCACCATGCCCTGGGAAGTAGGTTAGGCTGAGAGAATACAACTGGCTGAAGGTCACCCAATAGGATGCATGGCTGAGCAGGCATCTGAACCCTCCTTTCCCCAGTCCTAGTCCAGCCACACGACAACAGTGTAGCCCTCAGGTGGGAGGCAGAATTCAAAAAGCTCTCTCCTGCCTCCCCCTCAGTCTCAGGTCCCTTTTCCAAGTGGCCACCAGAGGCAGCGGTACGGGCCTGGTGGCCTGTGGGAGGGGAGCAGGTCTGCAAGTCTAACTTCCCCCCCCCAGCTACACCCATGACTCGAGCTGGAGGACCAAGACAGGCTTGGGCTGCTTTCTAGGAAAGCCAGGAATAGAATCAGAACGAATAGGGAGGGGGGTCACAGACCAGGGCTCCTGCCAGAATCCTATCCAAGGAATCTCCAGCGACCTTCAGAGTAGGTCAACCTGGTCAAGCCTCCTGACTCTGGAGGGGCCTGTATCTTCCTGAGTGCATGATGCTCCCAAGCACTCAGGAATGCTTCCTCCCTCCTGGGACGAGGATTCCAGAGCCCCACTCTTATGAGGGACCATTCCTCCAAACTGGCATTCAAAACTCTTTGCTGTTGGTTGACTTGTGCCATATATTTTTTGACACTTCCACAGCAGAACAGAGACTAAGTGAGCCCCCTTCCTCCCCCAGACCATTCTTTTGGTATCTGAAGCCTATTATCAAGCCCCTTCTCAAGCCCCTTCTTCCTTTCCCCAAAGCCAGCTCTTCTTTCCACATTTATCCAAAGAACTTCCCAGAGATTTAGTTAATTTATTTATTTGCTTTATTTATATATTTCATCTTTCTCCCCAATGGAGACCCAAAGTGGCTTACGTCATTCTCCTCTCCTCCAGTTTTATCCTGACAACAATCCTGTGAGGCTGAGAGTAGGTGAGCTTCGATGGCACAGGTGGGGATTCAAACCTGGGTCTTCTAGATCCTAGTCAGGCACTTTAACCGCTGCACCACACTGGCTCTCAAGCTTTCCCCCCCTTCTGTTTTGTTCCTGCATTGGAAACATGCTGCGAGGCCTTAAGAGCCCAATGATGTTCCCACTAGCACAGAGCTGAAACACGGGGGAAGACTTCCTAGGCATTATTGCCCCCACAAAACATTCTCCCTCCTCACTGAGTATGAACCCTTTTTGCAGAGGAACGACCATTGGTTACTCACCGTGAAGTGTCCTTCTCCTCTGAGGCTTGGAGGACATCTTGTGGGTGATTCCCATCCATCTCTTAGGGAGACAGGAACAACTTCAAACTGTTTCCTGTGGTGGGAGTCACCCTTAGCTCAGTTTTGGGACTCCGAAAGCAGTATAACGATTCTAAACAGTAAAGAACTCAACACAATATAAACAACAGCAGATTAACTTGCATAGAATTCTGGAAAATCAGGTGAAAGGAGGAAATATGTACACAGAAAAGGAACATGACGACCCGGGAGGGCCAAGATGTTCTCCAAGCCTAAGAGGAGAAGGACCCTTCACGGTGAGTAACCAATGGTCGTTCTCCCTCTGAGGTGGAGGCCATCTTGTGGGACCTCCCAGAGCAGTGTCCCTAATTTTGGGAGGGTAGGTTGTCATCGAGAGACAGGACAGATTGAAGAACCCGTCTACCAAAAGCTGCGTCGGCAGAATCAAACGCATTTATTTTATAGTGCCCGATAAATGTGGATAAGGAGGACCATGTAGCTGCTCTGCAGACTTCCTCTACTGACGCTCTATTGGCAAACACTGTGTTAGCCGCTGCACTCTGCAGTGAATGGGCAGTGATCCCATCCAGTACTCGCTGATTTAAACTTTTGTAGGCCTCAGCATTTGCCTTCCCGGAGTGTCTGGCAGCTCAGCCAGTCCGCTTGGAGATTGACTATGCCTTGTACATGTTCTGCTCTGTCAGATGCCAGGTTGCTCTCCACCCATTTTAGCAAAAGGGTTGCTTCCCTGTGCAGGACTAGAGACTTGGAGCCTCTCTGTTTGTTCAAATAAGCCTTGGCAGCTATATTGTACGTTCGAATTAAGACACGGAGTCCCCTGATGTGGGGGGCGAAGTCAAGGAGGGCTACCCGGATGGCTCTTAACTCCAGCAGGTTGATAGGCAGCCGCCTCTCTCTCTCTGACCACGTTCCTTGAATAGGCTTGTGAGACATGGTGGCACCCCAGCCTGACAGGCTGGCATCTGTGAAAATCTGTACCCAGTTCTGGATCCAGAATGTCTTGCCTTGAGTCAGGTTGCGTGTTACCGTCCACCATCTGAGGCTTGATTTCACTTGTAGAGGTACCTTCAGGGAAAGGTCCATCTTGAACGTGATGGAACGCTGAAAGGGTCGAAGAAACATCTGCAACTGTCTGGAATGGAAACGACCCCACTTAAGAGTGTCAAATGTCGCCACCATCAGACCCATCATTTTTGTTAGATTAGATAGGGACAAAGTCCTTGCCTTTATGATCTGTCTGGCCATATCCTGAATCTTCCTCGCCTTCTTTTCTGGGAGGAGCAGTTTTGCAAGTTGTGTATCCATCACGACACCCAGATGCTCCAGTCGCTGGGAAGGAGTCAGGGAACTCTTCTGCATGTTCACCAGGAACCTAAAGTCTTGCAGGCATCGAATCGTCATGTCTGTGTCCTGTTGAGACTGAATCCTCAATGAAGAGTGGACTAACACGTCGTCCAGATATGGGTGGATGTGAATCCCTTGTTCCCGAAGACAGACGATCACATGGATGAGTATCTTGGTGAACACACGTGGGGCTGAAGCAAGGCCAAGGGGGAGGGCCCTTAACTGGAAGTGCTCCCTGTCCACGCAGAATTGAAGGAATCTGCGATGATGAGCAAACATTGGGACGTGTAGATATGCCTCCGTCAGGTCTATAGAAGAGAGAAATTCTTGTGGTTTCAGGGATTCCGTGATGGACTGTAGGGGCTCCTTGTGAAAATGCTTTGGTTGAACAAACCTGTTTAAGAATTTCAAGTCTAGAATGGACCTCCAGTCCCCGTTTTTCTTGGGGACTGTAAAAAAGATGGAATACACTCCTTCCCTCTGTTCTTCCTGGTAATGTCTTCTATGGCCTGTATATCTAGTAGGTGATTTATTGCAGCCTTGGTTCTTTCTCTTTTGACAAAAATTTTGTGAGTGGGAGAGGCCAGAAAACGATTGGGCAGAATTGAGAGGGGTTCTATCTTGTAGCCTTCAAGGACAATTTCTCTTGTCCAGGTGTCTGGGTGAGAGTTGATCCACGCTTGACTGAAGAGCAGTAGACATCCTCCCACCGGAGGAGACTGGTAGTCACGCCTTTGGAGTCTTAGGCTCTCTCTCTCCTCTGTCTTGTCTGTTACCATACGATCTGGGAAACCTGCTGTTGAAGCCGCCACGCCGAAAGGACTGCTTGTTTCCCCAAGATGTTCTTCTGTTGTCCTGACGAGACCTGGTTGAAGCCTGGTATGGGCGAGATGCAAAGGAAGAAGAGGAGGAGGAGAATGTGGATGTCCTCTTGTCGCCAAGGCGGACATATTTCGGTTTTCTTTTTAACACGGGTTTCCACCAGAATCTTTTCCAGGGGTTCCCCAAATAATTTGTCTCCTTGAAAGGGGTACCCTGAGACGATGGCTTTAGACTGATCATCTGCCTGCCAGGATCTAAGCCAGACCAGGCGTCTAGCAGCAGCAGAAGATGCCATGGCTCTAGAGGATAGCACCATGGTGTCTAGAGTGGCATCAGTGGTAAAAGAAATAGCCTTTAGAACTCTATTAGCACCCTCAAGTAGCCTTGGATTGCTTTCTGGCAGCATCTGTATTAATTTCCTCATCCAGACGATGGACGCCCCGGATACTGTGGAAGCGGCAGAGGAAGCCTTAATCACTAAGGAAGAAGCTTCATGAGATCTCCTTAGATCAAGGTCGGACCTCTTTTTCAGACTGTTCCGAAGATTGCCATGACCATCCTCAGAGAGCAATCCCGATGATTGTAGAGCGGCCACTGGGGCATCTACGACCGGAATCTGTAAGAGATCTGAAACAGAAGAAGTTACCGGATACAATCTCTTAAGAAGACCAGGTATGGACTTGCTTGATAGTGGCTTAGTCCATTCAGCTTTAATCTTGCGCATGTAGAAGCCTGGAAAGGGAAAAGCTCTCTCTGAAAGGTCATCTGGGGGAAAGAATTCATCGGTAATTTCTGACCCCTCATGCTGCTCTTGATCATTAGGGCGTTCATTCCCTGCCCTTTGTAAATTTTGAATTTTGAGAGCTGAGACTGTTTTAGACAGCAAGTAATGGAGGTCCTAAGCCTTAAAAAACCTAAAGGACTGTTCAGAGGTGATAGGAATCTTTCCTCTTCCTCTTCATTAGAACTGAATTCTCCCTCCTCTTTCTCACTAGAGACATAGGAGATGTCCTCCCCCTCTCCCTGTTGGGGGTTTGGAGGAGTGCCTGGGAAAACCCTTCTGGGCAGCCTTGGTGGGCCAGGCTCTCTTTCCCCTATTTGGGGAAGGAGAAGGAGAGGAGGATGAAGACCTTGAGTGAATGGGGCACCCCCCAGAGTTGCAGAAGCCGGCTATTTCCTGTCTCATGGCCCTCCTGAAAAAGGATATAACTCTAGGGGCAGGGGAGCGGACCCGGAGTCACCAACGTTACCGCGTTGAGGGCCATCTTCTCTGTCATTCCCCTGGGCAGCATCAGCAGGATCGCTCGCTGCAAGGTTGGACCCACTATGACTTGCAGTCTTGGGTCGCTCCCTGACCGGGATCGGGCTCTGCCGCTCATTCCTGTAATTTAAAATGGCCGCCGCCATGTTTGCGGGCTCCGAGAGCGTGTGGGAGTGGGAACTTTTGGTGCGCTTGGCTGCGCTATGGGTGTCTGTTGCTCGTGCGGTCCCCTCCGTGGCCCTTTCTCGAGCCGCATGCTCTTTCCTTCTCTCCAGCTCACCTGAAGAGAGGAATCCATCGCTGTCTCCCCTAAGCGCCATTGCTGCTTTTGGGAGAGGCGTCTCACAGAAACGAGAAAGAGAAGGAAGGAAAGGTAAAGCCTTTTTTTTTTTGTAACAGAGAAACTGAAGAAGAGGCACTAAGAATGAGAACAGTAACTAGAAACAGGAAAGATGAATAAAGTTTGAACAAGAATAAGATACTAAAAGTGAACGTTTAGGCAAAGCCTAATTTTCGCTGCTCTCTCTACTGAGGCAGGAAGAAAACTGAGCTAAGGGTGACTCCCACCACAGGAAACAGGAAACAGTTTGAAGTTGTTCCTGCCTCCCTAAGAGATGGATGGGAGTCACCCACAAGATGGCCTTCACCTCAGAGGGAGAACGCAAAATGTTCCCCAAGGGATGGGTGTCTGGGAGGAAGAGGCCATGCATTCCTGTTGCATGATAACTGAACTGATGCCTGCTCACCCCAATCTGGTTGAGGACAAAAGGCTAATCTAGCTGGAGATTTGCATGCACACCCCACAGCTGTGGGGGTGAAATATGTGCTTGCGTGACTCCTGAACACTGAGGTTATCTATTTCTGCACAATGCAGCTTTCAGTGGGAATTCCCAGTTCTACTTCTGGAGATCCTTTTCATGAAAATGCAAGAGTATGGACCTGGGACCTCCTTCATGCAAAACAGGAATTCCACCAATGACCTATGGTTGTTTTGTCCCCCACCAAACAGCACAACCTTTGGGTAAATTTCTCCCATGAAAACTCAACTTTAAGAGAATCCTCTCCAGGTCTCTGGGAGAATCTGCTGGTTCCCTCATTTTGGCCCAAGTGCAAAGTTGGCTGCATACCTGAATGGAGCTCCTTCACCAAAGATGACATTGTGTTGGTAATTGAATCAGCTGCTACCAGCAAATCGTTACGAAGGTTTCGTCGGGTTCCTATGAAAGAAAACGGGAGGGGAAAAGTGGTGGAGGAAGCTGAAAGTCCAGCTTTCTACGATCACTTGAGCAAGTGATCCTTATGTCAGACACGCCCCGACCTGCTACGATGCTGAGTCCGAGAGCTGCCTTGGGGATGGCCCGTCCCCTGTAAGACAGCTGCCCCTTAGACAGCATGGCCAGCAAAGCGCTTCAAGGAAGCTCTGCCTGTACAGCAGCTAGGTAGCCAGAGAGGTACATGATCTCTGTTCTGCCATATGTAATCAGACACCTGCTGTTCTGCTATGGGGATAATAAACCCATTCATCTACCAGTTGTTATACTGACGGGTGTGTGTGTGTTGCTGGATGGAAAAAAAGCACAGAAGACTCACTCTAGGATTCAGGAATTGGCCCCTCCCATAGTACAAGTTTCTTTTTCTAAATCATGTGGAGTATGGATCCTAGTTTATGTCCTTACAACATCCAGGAATTTTAGGTCCCCTTTAAGTAAGGTGGGGAGGGGATGAAAACTGCTGCAAGTCCAGGGAGCTCTTGGCCTGCCTACCTGCCACACAACAATAGCTGCTTGGGGGGGGGGGGGGGGGGGAGAGAGAAACCCAACCAGGTGAAACTGATACCTAATTCCCACCCCCCACGCTTTCATTTCATTTCAAAACACACAAAGACCCTTCCTGGCCTCATCTGTGGCTGCTGCCGTGTAGGACAAACATTTAACTTGGTTAAGTCATCTGTTCTCCCACACTCCTCACAGACCCTCTTCAGGCAGTCAGGCAGCTCTCCAGACAGGTTTTTCCAGGACTCCACCTGCTCACGTACCTAGCTGTACAGGCCCCCTCAAGACAGCAGGCAGGCAATAATCCATCAGGAAAGGTGTAAATATCACATGCAAGCCAGAATGCTGAACCACCAGTAAACGACTTGCTTCCTTGCCTTGCTTGCTGCAGAAATTCCCCTATCCCCCTTCATTTCCCTTTCCTTTTCCTTCTTCTTTTTTCTCATTTTTGGTTCATATATCTGCATGTTCTGTGTGTTTTTCTGTGGTTGGTAACAATTACATAATATGATGGCATTGTCTATATATTGGATATATATTGGGTATCAGATGATTTTGTTCTGCTTTATTTTCTTGTTTGGTATTTGCTATTGTGTGTAAAAAATATAAAACAATAAAACATTAATTAAAAAAAAGAACATTCGAAGAGTCCTGCTGACACAATCCAACAAGTACAGCAGCAGGGTAGTGTGGCAGAGGCCACTCAGTTTCTCTACCCACACTAGTGCTCATTAGACAAGCTAGAAATTGTGCACTTCTTTTTTTTTTTGAACAAAATTTTATTCAGGATATAATCAATCACAATCAACATTAAATTTGACATTTGAACCCATTACAATTGTGCACTTCTGACTGATTTCTGGCTGCCCAGACTCCGCCTGCCTGCTTGTGGATGCCAGGCTAGCCCAGAGCAAGGATGCAGGAGTGCCCACCACTCGTCTTCCAAGTAGAAAGGGGCCCTATCCGAGATGTAAAACCGACCCTTTGCTACCCAAACTTTTCAAAGGCAACAACTAATGGAAATAAGAGATCCAGAGTGGCAGAGTGGTTACAGTATGGGAGTGGGGGTCTGGCAGACGCAGCTTCAAACCTCCCCCTCTGCTGTGGAAGCTCTGGGCCAGTCACACCCTCTCTGCATAACCTACCTCACAGGATCGTTGGGAGGATAAAATGGAGGAGAGGAGAACAACGTAAGCCACTTTGGGTCCTCATTGGGCTATAAATGAAATAAGTACATCGTTCCAATAAAGTATTTATTTATTATTCTGTGCAAACTTGTCATTTTAACATTGTTTTAATTGTATTGTATTATTTGTTGTACACCGCCCTAAGCCCGTTCGGGGAGGGCAGTATATAAATCAAATAGATAAATAAATATTAAAGTACAGAATTGGAACCATCACTTTTTACCGCATGCAATCCACTTTACCTGCTTGTTTCCTCAGGAAACGTCCAGGTCTTTAAAAAGCATTCCTACTGAAGTTTGTGGGTTAAGTTGAACTCTGAAGTCTTGTGTGTGTAGGCACATGGGCACATGTGAACCTTACATTCTGGCTTGCTCTACAAAATAACTAGGTTTCAGGGAGAAATCAGAACTGACCTGGGAGAGATTATTGGGATTTTCCAGAGTTTCTTAAAAGGCTAAAAGCAGCCATAAAGTGGCCACACTTGGACTGGGGCTACAGCACTGAAGGAAGGATGTATGGGTTATTTTTATTTCTTTAAATTATTATATTAATTATATAACTTATTTAAATATTTATACCCAGCCTTTGTTCAAGACAGCTATCAACAAAAACAGTAAAATCTCTCCAATTACAAATGGCCATAAAGCCAACATGAAAAGAACAAGTAACAAAAAACAATCCTTCTAAGGAGTATCCAGTCCAAACGAAGAGTTCTGTTTTATGTAGCTTCCAGAAAGACAGCAAACACAGAGACTTCTCAGACCCTATATTGGAGCCACAGCTGAGAAGGCTCCACTTCACACCAAGGAGGTCTGAATCCAGTAAGCAGAAGGCACTAGCAACAGACGCTGATCAGACAGCCTGAGTGCATGGATGGGTCTACACAGGGAGAGATGGTCCTCTCCTTCAACTGTTTTCCCCATACAAACTGTCACCCTGCCCCAGTATCGATAGGTTTTTCTCTGCAAACACACTGGGTGCGCTTGCACACATGCAAAATTAAGACTGGAAAAACATCCAGATTTTCTACAGCTGCCATGGGAGATTGTAACCACAGACCTTCCAACAGTCATCCAGTCCTTGCATGCAAAAACACTTAAGTACATAAGAAGAGTCCTGCTGGATCAGACCAGGGGTCCACCTAGTCCAGCATCCTGTCTCACACAGTGGCCAACTGGAGGGCCAACAACAGGGCATAGAAGCCGAGGCCTTCCCCTGATTTTGCCTCCTGGCTCTGGGATTCAGAGGTTTAGGGGCTCTGAATGTGGAGGTTCCCCTCAGCCTCCATGGCCACTGATTGACCTATCCTCCATGAATCTATCTAATCTGCTTTTAAAGAAGAATAGATTCTTTTGAACTATGGTGCTGGAGAAGACTCTTGAGAGTCCCTTGGACTGCAAGAAGATCAAATCAGTCAATCCTAAAAGTAATCAACCCCGACTGTTCCCTGGAAGGCCAGATAATGAAGCTGAAGCTCAAATACTTTGGCCACCAAATGAGAAGGGAGCACTCACTGGAGAAGACCCTGATGCTGGGAAAGATTGAAGGTCAAAGAAGACAAAGGATGAGATGGTTGGACAGTGTCATAGATGCAACGAACATGAAACTGAGCCAACTTCAGAGGACGGCGGAAGACAGGAGGGCCTGGTGGGATCTGGTCCATGGGGTCGCAAAGAGTCGGACTCGACTGTGCGACTGAACAACAACAACTTTTAAAGCTGTTTATTCCTGTGGCCATCACTATGTCCTCTGGCAGCAAATTCCACATTTTAATCACTCTCTGTGTAAAGAAGTATTTTCTTTTGTCTGTCTATGGGATACGTAGCCTCATTTGGAATACTATGTACAGTTCTGGTCACCCTATCTCAGAAAGGACATCACGGAGGTGGCAAAAGTACAGAAAAGGGCAACCAAGATAATTAGGGGGTTGGAGCACCTTCCCTATGAGGAAAGGCTGAAGAGTCTGGGACTTTTCAGTTTAGAAGAGCGACAACCTGGGGGGGGGGTTGATAGAGGTTTATAAAATTATGCACAGGATGGAAAGTTAACAAAGAAAAAAACCCTCCACAAATACTAGAACATCCAGTGAGGCTGATGGGCATTAGATTCAGGACAGACAAAAGGAAATACAAAATAAATAGACTGCTAAGGCTCATTTTAAGTTGGCTCCTGATGAAGACCCATCAACTGTTCTGTCTTCCTCGAGGTTGTGTGGACCTCCAGTTTGATCAGTTATGTGTTAGGATATCCAATTAACCAGCTTTTTTCATACAAATGTTTTCATAACACTCCTTTTTGAAAACAATCCTGTGCATCAGGTCCTCGTATATCATAAAAATGGACTGTACCAATGCTTTCGGTTACAGTTCATGTAGGACAACCTTCTTTTTGTTTCAGCAAGGGCAGAACCAGCAGCCTGAATCAGTCTGTCCTCAGATGAAGTTTTGTGCAATGAAGTCACCTGCCATGTTGTCTGCATCTGATTTGACACCCATGATGTTTGTGTGTGCGTTAAATTCACATCTCTCGCACTCTTCCCCCTTCCTCCATGAAATTCCTGTGCTACATTTAAATCCAAACAGATCACACAACAGCAACACTGATTACCTCTATTCTACCATTCTCTCGCTCAACAGAACATTCAGAAACATTACAGCAAACAAGCTATAAGCAGTAGGGTACTGCTAGGGGAAGATGCTCTCAAGAAACAGTCAGTACATAAATTATCTCATACGACAATTTACTTGCCTTGTGCAAATGCTTCCTGAACATCTCCACCGACACCGGCAAGCGAATCTTGGGGTACGTGAGTTGGGGTGGAGCCCGCAGATGTTGACCTGACTGGCATGGGCATTGACCGGCCAGCTCCATGGGTAGGGGAGGTGTGTGGAGAACTTGCTGCCTGGGCCTAGAATAAGACACACAGCTTGGTTCAGTTGACACTTTCCCTTCGCAAACAGCTCTTCCAAATAAGCAAAATGGCAACCCCATAGATGCTTTAATCTGACTGACAAAATCCTTAGGCAAAATTGCCTCTAACAAGAAATTGACTCCCTTAAGTACTGGCTAAGGCAGGGATAGCTGTGGGAGCCACATTCATTTATTTATATATATTTTTTCGACTTCTTAACTGCCCTTCCCCATCTTGCGGGGCTGAGGGCAGTTTACAACAGCATAAAATCCAATACAATTTAAAAACCAGTTAAAACTACAGAATTCAGTATTAAAACATTCAACATAGATATTTAAAACACTTTAAGAGAGATGACATATCTAGCATTCAGATTTTCATGGGGGGGGGGGAGGGTGCCCGGCAGATGTAAGGGAACAGTCGCTGGCCTCAGCTGAAGGCCTGGCAGAACATCTCTGCCTTGCATGCCCTGCGGAACTTTAATAGATCAGACAGGGTACGGATGTCATTCAGCAGAGAGTTCCACCAGGCTGGGGCCAAGGCTGAGAAAGCCCTGTCCCTGGTCAAGGCCAGACGGATATCTTTAGGGCTGGGAATCACCAGGAGATTCTTGTCTGCTGATCTCAAAGCCCTTCGGGGGACATATCGGGGGAGGCGGTCCCGAAGATACATAGGTCCCTGACCGTTAAGGGCTTTAAAGGTAAGCACCAAAACCTTGACTCTGAGCCTTGAATCTGTGACTGTTTGATCTGTGGCTCTTCTGGGCTCTGTTCCTCAGTGTAGCATCCACCACACATTCCAGGAAAATGGGCAAGACCATTGCTCAGTAGAGTTTGGAGTTGGCAGGTGGTCCCCACCTTGAAACGCCAGAGGGATTGGAGGACGGATAAGATGCCAGCCTTCCTGAGCCAAAGGAAAGTAAAGAGCCAATGCTTCCAGGGATGGAAATAAAGAGCCAATCCTCTTCAACAACCTCCGACCCTTCCCTGCACCCTCCACACTCTCATACCAGCTCCTGGGCTGTTCAGAGGAAACCAAGCTGGCCACAGAGAACGGAGAGTAAAACCACCGCTAATGGGCAGCCACCTGGGAAAAGAGCAAGCTGGTCATAGAGGGGTGGTGGTGATTTTACGCCCACTTTCCCACAGCCAGCTTGCTCTCCTCGGGACACCCTGGCAATCTCACCCTCCTTAGGCTGCTGTGCCTCATGCTGAAGAGGGAAGAGAGGGAAGCCCTTCCCCTCATGCCAGATACACCAGGGCTGGCTAAATTTTTGACAGTGGCGAGGAGAGACAACCCTTCATGCTCAGAGGTACTAAATATACTGATATAATTTAATAATTATCCAGGGCTCTACTGGTAGCAGAGCTCTTCTTACTGGGCCTACTGTAAGCTCTTGGAGGATTGGCCACACTAGGGGTGTGTGGCCTAATATGCAAAGGAGCTCCTGCTACCAGTAGAGCCCTGTAATATCTTATGCTAGCGCACAGTAGTCTGTAGCTCTTTTGACTAATAGCAAATACAAGTCTGGCTCTCCATGAGCCAAGGAGTGAGTACCGCTGATTAGGGAATGCAGCCCCCAGTATGTGACGGTGCATAGAAATATGAAAGTGGTTGACCCTTGAGGCCTGGGAGGAGCCATTTAACAAGGACAAAAGAGTCCAAAATGGCATATGGGGTTTACATACCAGCTTCTAAACCCATCCCAAGATTCTGTGAGGCTGAGATTCAGTTTTGAGCAATTAAGGATTCCAGGTTATCCCATCGTGTAGCTCGAGAGCTCTAGATTACTTCATATCACCATTTTGAGATGCCCATTTTTTTTCTTTTTAATTTATTTATTTATTCACATTATTTATCATTCACCTTTCTCATTGGGACTCAAGGCGGATTATCCAGAATAAACCATCAGTGTGCACTAGATTTGTGGTGCAGGAGTTTCAGTGGTTCACCAGGAGTGAAGGCCATGCTGAAGAAGTCACAGTATTACTGAATTCAGCACAAAGTCACTGCCCTGCTGAAATGGCTGCGTGAATCAGTGCTCTGCCAACAAGAGGGGACTCATCACCTCTTTTAAGACATCAGGAGCTGTTTCTTGGGGATCGGATCACATCGGCACTAGCAAACTTCCCACTGGCACAAAGTTGGGTACTGTTCCCCCCCCCCCATACACACACTGCAATCCAGTTATCACATCTCCCCAGAATAAAATATTCCTGATTGACCCACACTGCTCAATGGTGGCTGAAAAGTGGAGTTTAATGCTGCAGGAATTCGTCTGCTTTCAGATACTTAACGGGTGTGCATTTTAGGGTATCACAGACATTTAGAGTGTTTCCTCTGGGGCACCACAAGTATCTTCCAACAAAACATTTTAATTGCTATACCTTTCAGTGTGCAAGGAGTTCTCCTAGCAGAAATTTATACCGTCTCCCAAAGGCCTAACATGTGTACAATTGGCATTAAATGATGCCTAAGTGGAATTTTACAAGGCATTCCCTGGGGTTCTCATCACACCTGAACAGATTCTAGGGAAGGAAATCTTCAGCAGCATTACAAAGAGGGTGCAATGACACATAGGAGAAAGGCTGGAACGTGGACTGAGTTTGCATAAGCAAAAAATGCTTTAGACCTGAGAACACAGAAAGGCTTTGGCTGCACTTGGATTCCCCACACTAGTCTCAAAAAGTGGAAATGATACTATTTTACCCAGAAACAGTTTGTGTTTGACAACACTGTGCCTACCAGGGTACAGAAACAGACCAAGATGGTGGAGCCGGACATGTGCTCAGCATAATGCAGATTGCAAGAGATCAGTTACACATGTCGGCTCAAGTGGTAGACAATTGCCTGTAAGGCCCCAAGTTTAGCCTCAGCATCTCCCCTTGAAGGATCTCAGGTAGCAGGGCTGGGAAAGGCCCCTTTTCTGCCCGAGATACTGGAGGAGAGCTACTGGCAGTAAAAACAGGCTAACTGGACCAACAACCTGGACCAGCACCGTTACGTATTCTGCACATCAGCTGCACCACCCCTGGATGTAAGCCCTGACAGAAGCCATGTGCCGTCTAACAGTGGGTGTGCGCACGAAAACTAAACAAAAAATATGAAAGAGCAAACTGATGTTTTTATACATAAACGCCCATAGCCCGTCCACCTGCCAAGTAGCTACCTTTCAAAGGAAATTCTGTTAAAACACCTGGAGGTGAGATGGGGGAAGGAAGGGGACCAAGCCCTGTGGGGCCTTGCACATCTGGACTCAGCCACTTCCACTGCCCATCTACTGGAAATCTCACCATCACTGGAAAGTGGCCAGCACTAAGACAGCAGCACTAAGAGAACAGCAGACCTCCCTTTTGCATCACGGACCCGCCCTTACTTGGCTATGTGAGGACACTTCAGCTTATTTGTGTCTATGTGTTCTCCTACGTGCTTGTGGCTGTCTGGGGCAGAACACTCATGACTAATACCATAATTACCCCATTAAAAATTTACAGCCCCTGCACATCCTCCCTTATTCAGTTTGTGCCATTTCGTCTGGCCTTTATCCTTTTCTTCCTTCCTTCCTTTTTTTTTAGAAGCAGGCCCCCCCCCCCCCCCGCTGCTATGGAAACCATGCCGTCACTGGAGCAGAAGGAATCCGGCAATACCCATGGAGGTGAAATGAAGTCAGCTTTTACACAGCTTCACTTGAGGGATGGCGAGGGCTGTACCAAGACAGCTAGACCCAAGGGGAGCAGAGTGATATTTGCCAGAGAAGACCCAGGTTCTTTACAACCTGAGAGCCACACACTCTCTCCTGCATAACCCCCAACACCTGCTTACGTCCCCAGAACAGCTTCTCCTCTCACAGCCTCTCACTCGACAGGTACAGACATCTTTGATTAGACAGAGCACGTTTTCTGTCTGCTCTGACTCTTCAGGAAAAAGCTTCCGGTGGGTCAACAAGGCTCTCTTCTCTTTGCTCACTTTTAGGATGCAGTGCAAGACTTATTTTTTTTCAGGGGCCTTTTAGTTTTGTGACATAACTGTGTTTTAATGTCCTTTAGACTTGAAGCTATAGAGGCATTTATCTTGCTTTAAGGGTGCTATGACCTGAAAATGCATTTTAATCCAGGATTTGTGTTTATGTATGGAGAAGTGGGCTTGAAGCTCAACATAAAAAAAACAACAACTAAGATCATGGCATCCGGCCCCATCACTCCTTGGCAAATAGAAGGGGAAGTCGTGGAAGTAGTGACAGACTTCACGTTCCTGGGATCCCAGATCACCGCAGACAGTGACAGCAGCCATGAAATTAAAAGACGCCTGCTCCTTGGGAGGAAAGCGATGGCGAACCTAAACAGCATGATAAAAAGTAGAGACATCACTACCAACAAAAGTCCGCATGGTCAAAGCAATGGTATTCCCAGTAGTCATGTATGGCTGTGAGAGCTGGACTATAAGGAAGGCTGAGTGCCAAAGAATAGATTCTTTTGAACTATGGTGCTGGAGAAGACTCTTGAGAGTCCCTTGGACTGCAAGAAGATCAAATCAGTCAATCCTAACAGTAATCAACCCTGACTGTTCCCTGGAAGGCCAGATAATGAAACTGAAGCTCAAATACTTTGGCCACCAAATGAGAAGGGAGCACTCACTGGAGAAGACCCTGATGCTGGGAAAGACTGAAGGTCAAAGAAGACGGGGACGGCAAAGGATGAGATGGTTAGACAGTGTCATAGATGCAACGAACATGAAATTGAGCCAACTTCAGAGGACAGTGGAAGACAGGAAGGCCTGGCGTGCTCTGGTCCTTGGGGTCGCAAAGAGTTGGTCTCGACTGTGCGACTGAACAACAACAACAACAAATGGAGAAGCAGCATACAATTTACCAACAAACTGAATTTTAACCTTTGCACTTTCCATGCAATTCCACCACTGACCCTTTCTCTGCTGCTTTCCTGCTAGTCGGGTGCAGATCTGAACCATCCACACTTCTTTTGCTCATCAATGAGTTGATG